AGATACTTAAATATAAAACTAGTAAGCTATAGTTTTTTTCAACTTTGAAATTGGAAAACAATTCATAGAAAATGTACTTAAAAGAAACATTTTAATAACTAGATTTTATAAACGAGTATAATAATGAATATGTTTATCTCTGGTATTTCCTGTAATTGCTCCAAGTTAGCTTAAGGCAAATTTAATTTATTAGAAAAAATGATGTTTTGTCAGGCAGTTTTTTCTTAAAATATCTAATTCATTTACGAAAATAACACAGATTCATATCTAAGAAATGTACTATATTCCAGTTACGTTATTTTAATCTGAAAATACCCACGTGGAAGCAAATCTAATAAAAGGGATAGCTTGGTGGAGAATAAAACCTTGTGTTCATGTTGCACATGGCGAAGATCATAAACACCACAGTTTTAGATAATTAGTATTGTCTTCATCGAAAAGAATGCAGTCTGTAGCAAAACATCTTGTCAGATATAGAGGTTAGAGTTTCTGTTCGCTTCTTATTCTGATAATAAACATAAAAAAGCTCAGATATACTATGAGATATAATATGATTTTTGCTTTTGCTTGATCAAGTATACAACAGGGAATAAATACCCTATCGACTACAACGTTACTAGGCGGATTAAAAAGTAAAAGCATAGTAGTGGAGAAAATGGAGCCTACAACTAAGAATATTAGAAAAGTATAAGAAAATTTACATTTCATCATTAAATTGGATAGCATTCAGACACTTCACAGACCCAAAGTTTAACTGATTCTTATTTTTTATTATAGTATTAGGTTCGAAATATGTATGCATTAAAACTTGGAGGGGGATGTATAATATTAAGGTTAAATTGTGTTTTGCAAATATAAATTCCGAATTTGACCAGTCATTATCATTTATAACTAATTTTTGGCAGTATTTATTATTATCTTCTACGAACATCTATGAAATATATTTACTTAAATACATATTCTTCTCTAAACCTTTCTTCATAATGTATCTTTGCTTTCAACGAAAAAAATATTTATTCTAAAAGTAATCAAAAGAAAAATTATTTATCAAGAAAATTCTCATTTAAATTGAAGAAAATCCTAACTGTCTAAAACATACAAAGGAAATATGTTATCAAGAAAAAGAATCTGTTTTTTAGGGAGAAAAATCAAATTGTTGCATTTTAATGAATAATGAGGATCTCTTGAAAAAGGAGTCCAAATGGGGTGAAAAATATGAACTTTTACTATAATTTCTTCAAGTTATATTAAGTTTAATGCATGAAAAGAAATGCTTAAAGATAGCTCAAATAGAATCAAAGTATATAACTTTAATCTGCTTGGCACAAGAACGATTATTATAAATTTTCTCTCAAGCTAAGAGTCTTTCAAAATAATGAAATTTTGCGTACAACAGAATTAAAGAAAGCAACATAATGCAACAAATAAGCATCACTGGCCAAACAAAGAGCATCTCTCATTCTTTAAATTATCAATGTTCTAGCAATGAAAATAAACTGACTTTTAACTGACGACTGCGAAGATCCTTTCTGCCTCCTATTCGTATCCTTGCTTAATGTGAGCAAGAGAAAATTGGAGTACTAGAATGTTACGATTGCACTCCAATTTTCTAAATGTTAAGGAAAAATCAGTCTCAAGTTCTTGTAAATGCGTTTCCTACAGGCTTCCATTATGACACTAAGTTAGCAAGAAATCGCGACATTTGTTTCCATTTGCTAAGTTTAACATGTTAAATTTCTATTTTCTCCTCATTTGAACTTGAAATCTTTACACATTTCTAATACTTATTTACGTAGAATTTGAAATGATACAAAAACTCACCACATGCAAATACAATATATTTTGTATTAATTAAAAGTTATAAAACAAACAAAAAATATGCTAAAAATTATAGTAAAACAAGATACAAAATGAAATATCGTATCAAGTAAATATAAGCAAATACGTAATGATACAAAGAAATGCAAATCAAAGCAAAATACATGAAAATATGAACAAGGAAATACAAACGTATAAAATTACAATATTTGCGAAAAAAAAGCAAATAGACTAACTGTGAAATTAAAATTAATTGAGGAGACAATTCTTTTCTATGAGACAAATACATTATTTCAAAAATAATACTCTATAATCTTTCACTTCTACAATATTTTTTTAGATAAACCTGACTTCTTATACAAACTTCAGAAATGAAGCTCCATGTGAAAATATTAAATTCAAGTTCATGCAAAATCAACATTTCATTAACTAGAATTAATGACTAGAACTAACTAATGGCGGTCTATGTAAAAGATATATTCTTCTTTAAAGAATTTAATAAATTCCGTAAAATTAATAATATTATTGTGCTATATGTTTCAATCATCTCTTCCACCTGCGATCACCTGGATTGTAAATATCAACAGGATATCTTTATATTTATATATAGCTGTCTCTCTAAGAGGACCCTCATGATACCAACTAGTTTTGTTTTTTATAAAAGTGTGTGTCTTGGAAAGGTCATGTTCAATGCAAGTATGAATCTGTTTTGAGAAATACATGCCATTTTCAGAGATAGTCCTCTTAGGGAGGCTATTGTCTGTAGAGGATTCACGGTAAATTATATTCATACGCATTCTGTCAACGCTGCTAAGGAAATAAATTTTCTCCTGAAAACTCACGATTGTATAGCCTACAAATGAAAGACGGAAATCGCTTTAGAAAGATATCCCTGGACTTTCCTCTTGGACGCAATTATTTGAGCCAGATGCATAAAACTTCGCCGTAGTAAGCCCTAAAAGACTGAAAGGAGATTTACGGCTTAGCTTGAAGGCCACTAGATCTTCGAGCTTGCTATCTGGAAGCGTCTGGTATAAAACATTTTTGCGTGGGATATCCCAACGCAAAAAGTATAACAACGATCCAATAAAATAAAAGTAAGAAAACAAGGGAACAGACAAAGAAAGAGTGAAATGACCAAAAAGAATTACATTAGACATTTTTTGCGTTTAATTATAAGCGTCTCATAATATTATTTTTTGCCTCAACTATCTTAGAAACGAAAAGAAATATTATAAAATTTTATTAAATAAGCAAACTAGAACGGAATCGATTGAGTGTAATTTAATATTTTGCAATAAATTTCAGTAGTATTTACTTCGAATCATTGCTACTTAGAAACAATGGAATATTTTATTCTACCAGGTTGTAAAGAATAATATAACACACATTCTGTTAAAGAGAGCAAACCGCATTTTAGTCTTTTTTTTTAATATTTAATTTTTGTAGGTATTTAATATACGGTATATTTCGGCGTATAACGCCGACAGGTGTATAAAGCGAGCCTATAATTTCAAGCCACTTTATATAATTTTTAGGTATATTCGCCGTATAACACGCACCCTTTCCTTTACGAAGAAACGTGAAAGATAACATGTGCACCTTTTGAAGTCATTCATTCGAGGATTTTTCAAAGAATTTCCAACAATTGTATACTCAAATAATGAACGATAAGGAGAACAGTAGGTGCACAGAGAATACACTGTACTCAGTACAGGTGTGCACAAGAATATTATTCTAAAGTTTCGAGAAAAGGGGACATAGTTTGGAATACGAATGTGCTTCCGACCCGAACGAATTTGTGGAATTAGGAGTCAGATATTTTTACTTCAAAAGGGTAAATTTCCCGGAAGGATTATTCATTTCATTTTGGCATTTTGCGTTGGTTCACTATAAATGTCGATTCACTTTTCAAATTGTTGCCACCAAATGTTATCCAGCTGTGTTTTATTTAAATAAATTAAATAATGAAGAATCTGCATAACTATATGTATGTTTCTCGCATTGGGATAAAACAAGGGTACCCAGAGCCACCAAATTTTGAATAACGGAATCTTCCATAGAATATGGGTATCTGGAAGCCCAAATTTGGAATTTGAAATTTGTTTTACTATCGATTTCATATTTTGTAACACTTACACGAATTTTTGATTAAAAACTCAACGATTTCAAAGCGAGCAATGGCAAGACTTTAGGGAAGGGAAAAAAAAAAAAAAATATCTCCAGCTTGCGAGACTGTGTATAAGAAATACTAAAGCTTTGCTCATTTTAAAATTATTGTGCGGTATTGCTGTTGAATTGAATTTTATGGTTTAAGTGCAAAGTACATGATATTTAATAAATAAAGGTAACATACAAGACGTTAAAAAACGCCCCTTTGGACGTAATGCTAAATATTTAAAAAAATTTTTGCAGTCATTTCAAATCGTGATGCTTAAGTGAATATCGAATGATTTAACACATGGCATTTGCTTTATTTGAAATACAAATTGTTTTAGTTTTCCGTTTAGTGGTAAATATGGCTGCTGCCAAACGAAACAAACATAGTACCGGTTTCAAATACAAAGTCATTCAGCTTGTGAAAGGAAATGGAAACCGTGTTGCAAGAAGGATGTTTGGTGTTGGTGAAAATTCCATACGTGGAAGAAAGAAAAATGAAATCACAATCATGAACATGCCGAAGACTAAGCATGCTTTTCCTAAAGGTGCAATAAAATAGTCTATCCTAGAGGAAAGTGTTGCGAAATGGGTCCTAGGAAATAGCCAGAAGCAGCATTTAGGTACATGTAGCAATCTAATTTTTGCTTGTCCATCTTTTTGTTATTTTCAAATCAATCATTTTTATATACTGAGTATAAGATGCACCCCGTGAATTTTCATTTATTTCTTGTATTAAATGCGAGCGTTTTACGCCGGAGTATATGGTAATTCATTTTTGAAATATCTGACATAATGTATATTCATTTGAATGCAATAAATAAATAATGCGCTAAAACTGATACATCGTATTTTTTGTAATTTTGTTAATTGTATATAGTATGTGACACAATGGAAAACTCAATTACAATATTTTAAGTATATTTACAAGAATATAAGTAATACTTTATCAATCATGTCCGTCATTCTGATTAAATGATATTACAAATAATGTACTATTTAACTAGAGTAATTGATTACAATACCTCTCCCTCCTTTATCGGAATATCCCTGAATGCCCCTCTTTCTACCACAACAAGTCTCATGTCTCCTTTCAGCATGTAAAAGAACTACAAAATAAATTTAAATCAAATTCAATAAAAATAAATTAATAAAATTAATTAAAATTAATAAAAATGCAAAACAAATTAAAATAAAAATTAAAAAAAAACTGCAAAATAAATTAAAATCATAGCTGATGTGTGATAAATCGTAGTTATTTTTCAGCATGTAAAAGAACTGCGCAATAAATAAATTAATAATACAAAATTTAAAAAACTACATAGCAAAGAAAGTAGGCATAATTATTTCTTGACAACATATGTTGTAGGTTTCAGGGAAATGTTTTTCCAGACTGTTGATAAAAGAGTTCATTATTGATTAACTCTTTGACCGGCTGGAAGCCCTCTTGCCAAGAAAGCGCAGAGTTCCCCAAACTGCCATGAGTAAAATATATTTTCTTCATTAAAATCAAGCAAAATGCTCTTGGTAATTCATACCTGTATTTATGTATTTTTAATACATTGCCTTAATTTCTTGAACACATTTCAAGATGCTCGTATATATACGTTCTCAAAGAAGCCGCAAAAATTATTCTAACCCTTATATATACGGTTTTGGGAAATATCAGTTAACAGTAATTTTTAATTTTAAAAAACAAAAATGCCAATTCGCCATATCTGCAAATGGCATGCCAAAGAAAATTATTTAAATTATCTTGCTTTCTTTCTTGCAGACTGCAATTATTTTCCCGAAGCCGCACTGATATTTTGCATCTTAGCAAACTAAGTCAAACTCAGGGAAAGGAAAACAACGTTGATTGACGTAGGTCTTAAATCAGCAGAAGAGCTATCAGAGTTGCGAAATTAAGTGATTTGACTTTAAACTGTCATTATTCCATATCTGACTGAACATTTATTTTCAGTCAGTACAATTAATTTTACGATTCGATTTCATGAAGCGAATCGTAAAATTAACTTGTTCTCTACGTTAATGCTGTTAACAGGAAAATAGTTTGATAATTTTAGTATGAAATTATATCAAGTATATGAAGGCCATCATATGATCGAATAATATTAAAGTTGGTATTAGAAAGTCTATTTCTTTTTTAGATACCCCAACATTTCATTTTCCATCTGTTGATGATGAGATCCGGGTTTCGAGTTAATGACACCACTGGGTAGTAAGTAGACTTGTATATGTAAGAACCATCTTAAAACGCTTTTCAATAGAGACGGGAACACGTAGCGTAAGAATTTATATATTTAATTTGATGTGTTTGAACAGCTCAATTTTATTGAAGTGGTGCAAGAATCTGAAAAATTTATAACAATCGAACTAATAGGTACAACAAGGTGCGGTTTGCTGGAAAAGCAATAACACGGACGAAGAGTTTTTATTTCCTGGGGAGGAGAGTATGCCCTTTTTTTCACCGATAGAGAGCGATACTCCACATCAGCCATAAAGATCAATGTTCCAAAAATCTTCTGAAAAGTGCACTGGATGACTTATATCTGTGAATCTTTAGGACAAGTTAATCACTAAAATCGGTAGTTTCTGACTATCCAAACTTCTCTCCAAGCGGTCAATAGCCGAATATGAACTGCCAATCGATCAGTATCATGGAAATCCCATTGATTACAAAAATATTAATCAAGTTGATAATTTTTTATTGATATAAAGCTACATCATACGAAATAGTCTTATTCAAAACACAAGAATATGTTGTGTTTTGAAATTTAAAAGTCATCCTTGAGAGATATTCCGAAATAAAGTTGCGCCGAACCAATGTTATTGCTTTTTCCGTCTTCTTACCTAGTGAATGCACGTTTTATAAGAAACATTGAGTAGTTTTATGTCAAGTGCAACGAAATGATCGACATCAAATGGTTTAAAAAGATGTTTAATATTTGCATAATATTTATATTCATCTGCAGTTCAATTTAAAATTTAACCAAACAGAATCAAAAACATTCTAAATAATTTCTTTTGGTAAATAAAATAATTTTCTCTCCGCCTGAATTGTGTCAAGAGTTCACATCGGTCTAATAATTATCAAATTACCATTAAATACTAAATTAATGAAGTCATCTAATTGATTTCAGTTAAGTAATAATGATTAAGAGGATGTTCCAGTTAGTAATAATGATCAAAACAATCAATGAATGTACTGACATATAATTAAGAAATAAACAGTAATTAAGTTAAAATGAATAAAAATTATAATCATTACACTATTATTCTAAATTTCATAAATGAAAGTTAATATCAATTATATTGTCTAACACATTTCGAGTTATCTAAACCTTTCTCAGTCATATGAAATTAAAACAGTAAAAATGATTGCACAGAAGAAATACAGAATAAATTCGCAGAAAAACACAGAAGAAATCAAAGAAGAATCACAAAGAATTTCACACTAAAATTCCACTTCAAATATAACTTCACAGAAGAAACAAACGTATATTGTGTTACAAATTTTGTATATATTTGTATATATATTTTTAAAATAATTTTAGAGAAATTATATATGGAATTGTTATATTTTTTCTGTATAATGTAACATGAAAGTCTAGACGGAAGGTGCTTTGCCGGAAAAATAACAATACAGAGGCAAGTCTTTTAGCTTAACTGCTCCTATCCAAATGGAATCTTTAACTAACATAAAATTTAAAAAAAGAAAAGGTGCGGTGTGGAGCTTGGGCGAAGAATATGTATTGTTCTCTTTGGTCTCGGTAGGCTAAAAAAGCGCGTCACATTTAACGCGGCACGCTAGCGCCGCGTTAAATGTATTGATAATAAAATAATTTCCACATATGGCAATCATAAAAAAATTGCATCAATACATTTAGCGCAACCATCACATTCATTAAAATCTTTTATGCAATTAGAATCAGGTATTTTATCTCTGAAAACTTGCTTATCCATTTTAATTAAAAAAATGATATTAAAACGTAAATAAAATATCTGATCCGGACACCACATGAATTTCTTGTACGGAATATGAAATTGTATGCATTTCTTCAAATTATATAATGCATTTAATTTAAATTTATTTCCTCGAATTTCATGAGAGATAAATTTCACATTCAATTAATTGAGTTCTCACTTCGCGACAAGGCAAAAATGCATAAAACCTCAAAATGTCTTCATTAAATATAGAAAAAAAATAGACTTTCTATGAAAAAAAAAAAAAAAAAAAAAAAAAAAAACCCGCAGTTCGGCCACTAGGCAACAAACCAGACTTTTCTGTGTACAAAACTGAAAGTTTACTTTTGGTCCCACTCGGAAAAAAAAGAAAGGCATTGAAGGTGAAGAAACTGAATTCATTATTCTGCTATGTTTCAAATATAAACAAATATGGCTGCAATGGTAAACAAAAATTAGGCTTAGCCACATTTAAACAACTTTTAAATTGTTGATAATTCTGCATATATTGTATGCAGATTAACTAAAGGCATAAAAAACTTTAACCGGTAATAAGGAACAACATAAATCAATCATTTCAAAGCAAAAAATGCACATTTAACCAACATATAAGAATAAAAAAAGAAAGAGCTCACCGAGCCCCGACTAAGTAAAGATATATATATATATAAAGTAAAAAAAAATTAGAGCCGAGTGCAACCAAAAAATGAGGTGAATAACATGTTATAGCAGTCCTACATACAAAATTTCAACGTTTTGAAGCTACTCGTTTTTGAGTTATGCGAGATATATACATACGTATGTACGTACAGACGCCACGAAAAACATCACTTCTGAATCCATTTTAAATCAGTTTTATAATCCGTTTGGGGAAAAAAGATACCTTTATCCTTGTATATATCCTTGTGTACAGACGTCACGCAAAAACATCGTTAAATTGCATTGGATAGCGGTAAAAATAAATATTTTCGTTGAAAATATGATACCCGGAATTTTTTGTTATTTACAGGTACTTCCGTTACTTCGTACAAGGAAATTAATTAATTAAAAAAAAAAAAAAAAAAAAAAAAAAAAAAAAAACGTTAACCTGATAAACCTTGTTTTTCCCTAAACCTTTGTTCGCATTCTTAGTCTAACTATTACCTTAAAGTTACTTAGGTGTGCAGTTATTTGTATCATGATTATGTGTACATTATAGAGGAAACTGTAAGGGGGGTTCGATGATGAAAAACCATTCTTTTAAAAACGCTTTGGAAGGAATGGGATGGAAATCACTTATAGTATTAAAAAACTTTAAAACTAATGGACCGAAGTTATGATCCATACACTAGGACAACGAATGAGAAACGGGCTTTTAATTCTTTACACTGTCATAAATAACACTATTATCTTTGAAAGGAAAATCTCTAAAAAAATACGTGCATAAGCCTTTTTCCCCCTAGTTTGCATCTTTTAAACATTTATTGTTACCATTAAAAAGGGAAGGAACTATCATAACATTTAATTCCGCAAGGATTTTCAAAATTATAACAGATACTTTAGAAACATTTTTATAAAATTTATAAATAAAAATAACAATAAGCCAAGCTTCAGGATCAAAATTAAGAAATAACACGAAGGAAACTGAAACACGATAGCCTTAAATAATACAGGACAAAAGGAAAAAGTAGAAAAATGAAATGTATTTCGCCATTCAGCAGATAAAATTGGAGATGCTTCAGGCATCTTCAATTTTATCTGCTGAATGGCGAAATACATTTCATTTTTCTACTTTAGGGCAAAACATTTCTTACTGTACTATATTCCATTTCTTTGAAAAAAAAAAAAAAAAGGAAGAAAAGAAAAGACTTATTCACTCTCATATATTGGTAAAAAATAAAATATTTACAGAGTAAAATTTATAAAAATGATAAATCGTCTAGCCCTCTACGTTGTTGTTACCTGCTGCTACATTCTATAGTACCTTTTCAGTTCCAAAAGATTGTTCAGAATTTTAGGGCAAAACTTTTCATGCATAAAGAGTGAACATATTCCAGATTAAGGTTTCTTATGTATTAAAATTATTCATTTAATTCGGTTTCTCCGCAAAAATCTTTGTTTCATCTACTTTCAGTACAATCATTGAGTAAAGGTATTAGTCACT